CACGCGTGCGCGCGCACCCGTGATGGCCAAAGACCCCACATGATACCGAATGGGGGGAGCAAGGGGAGCAAGCCGACTCTCGCAGTTGATTGGCACCAAGAATGCCGTAGGCAGCCAGTGGGGATTGAACCCAGAACCTCCTGACTGCCACTAGGGCGCTTGCTCGTAGCATTTACTCTGTACTTATCTTGAAGCGAAGGCGGCGGACGGAGGGGGCACAGATGGGGGCCGAGCAGTAGCATCGGGGCTTGCAGGGCTTCTCACCGGGGACCGTTGGATGGAGGCGCTGACATACACGTAGCTCCAGGCAGGCGGGGGATCCACGTAGACCGAACCAGCCTCGCCGACCCTCTACTACCGCCTAAGGGGGCCAGGTCTCACAGGTAGCAGCGTTGTGTTTCCTCAACGCACGAATCTGGACGTGTTTATGGGGAGGTGCGTTTGAGGAAACTCAACAGGATGTTTTGCACATCTCTACAAACACGTCCAGATCGCCTTGAGGAAACTGATCGCTGCTAGTGGGACTCGGACGTCTCCAGGTGTGGGACTTCGGAGCCCGCCACGGGAAAGCTAGATAACCCCACCTCTGTGTTGTTTACCGATCCGAAGAGGTCCCACCAGCCCCCCTTTTCCAGTTCTTAGGCTTTGTCCCTTGTCCCACCACGGACCGAAGAGGTCCCACCAGCCCCCCTTTTCCAGTTCTTAGGCCTTGTCCCATCACGGTAGATGTCTAGTGTCTTCTGCCCGCGTTAGCGTGCCTCGCGCTCACGTCGGGTTAGGATTGCGCAAGCCGGCAGTCGGAGTACGGCACGAGGGGTCGGTGGCAGGGCAGGGCAGGTCAGGGCGTACACACGGGCGGACTGTAAGCGCGCGCGCGCGCGCAGTTGCGCTGGAGATACAGAACAGAGGAGGTTGGTTTGGCACTTGTCGACGTGCGACGAGTGAAGGAGACGGAAGACGGGACCGAGCCGATTGATAGTCTAGGCTGGGACGGGATAGAGCGCGGGAGCGTGAGTGAGTGACACGTGGAATATCTGACGGAGCGCCAGCTGGCGGAATGCAGGGGGATCGTTGCGCGAAGAGGGTGATGGCGGGGGCGGCTGTTGGCGGAGCCGTCGGGGGAGCGATTGGTGAGTTGGAGTGCTCCGTCGGTGGTATTCGGAGTCGCTGCCGTCTTCCCCCGAATACAACGCACCCTGACACCGAATGTATGCAAGCGTCTCTTTCCGCTCTGCTGCAGCCAAAATGAGGGTGCCTTGTGTTTGGCGGTAGACGGCAGTTATGTATTTTTCCCTCCTTTTCCCTTTTCTTGTTTTTGCTTTTTCGTCTTGGATTCCGTCTCATCAGCCCGGTTTGCCGATATCTCTCTCCCTGCCTACTTTTTCCTCTTTTCATGTGTCTCTTCCGGTTGACGTCATCGTCACAGGCCAGCTACTATATAGCCGATGTTTCTGCCGCGTGCATGCTTGTGTGTATGTGTATTTGAGTGTGTTTGTGTGTGTGTGTGTGTGTGTGAGTGTGTGTGTGTGTGTGTGTGTGTGTGTGTGTGACACTTGTGTTTGTGTGACACAAACACACGGAGAGAGAGAGAGAGAGAGAGAGAGAGAGAGAGAGAGAGAGAGAGAGAGAGAGAGAGAGAGAGAGAGAGAGAGAGA